TGAAAGATTATTTTTGAATTCAATGTCAATGATCTATACATCTCGTACATTATCAAAATCATTGTGCAAATTCATTGTATAAGCAGTTTGATTCTAAATCCTTCTGTACAGTTTGCACAATCAATTTCGTGTCATGTACAACTTCATGGCTTTTGCATTGATTGATGGGGACGCGATGAAAGAAATACTGCAACAGTCAAATAATTCTGCATTTTCAAGTCATTCTTTCCCTCTTCTTTTATTTTGTAGTTTAAAATAAGCATGTTTGATAGAAATTTTAATTTAAGTTAAAATCAATGATTAATTTTAAATATATATTATGTGGGATTCATAATTTTTGTCTTATAAAAAGTTATTAAAAATTTGATTTTAATTCTCACCAAATTGGGGCTAAATTTATTTTGTGAAAGTTTTTAATCAATTAAAATTATTTTACAACAAATTTATGGGTTTTTGAGCTTAAAAATTCGATTCATGGATGTGGTCAAATTCAGTTTTTGAAAAATATCAAACTTTTATGGTAAAAACCATTCAAGTCAGATAAGGATTTTTAGACATATTCGAAGCAATATTATCTAAAATTTTATTTAAAAAAATGCAGTTTATTAGAGTTAAAATGTAGGGCTGTGTATATATAAAATATTTTATTCTGTTAAAAATAATTTGCTAATATTTGATCCACCACCGACAATGGCTGTTGAGCATATGCTTTTTAGCTTTTCTTCTTCTTTCAATCCTCACTAGCTTGAAAGTGACAGGGACAACTGGCTAATTGCTCATACCACAAGAAGAAAAGGTCAGAGATTACACGTCTACTTTTTCGTTTATAATTTTTTTTTTTTTTTTTTTTGCGTTTCATAATCAATTATGCTACTTTTACGTCATTATTTACATTGTGTCATTTGACAGCACACAATTGAACAGTTAAAAAAATATTTTTTCTGCCCACAATTTTTTTAAAATATGGATGATATAAAAAATAATGTATGTTGACCCCAAAAAATGTACTTATGATGTGGCCAACAGTTCTCAAGGTCTCTCACGTCCACGCAATCTGGATTCTTGCACATTTGGACAAACCGTTAGTCACACGCGACCTTCTCCGAGGGGAATGGAGTCGGCCGCGCGCACTCCAACAGTCAAGTTAGTTGGAAAAATAATTTAGGATGTAGGAGAATTTTGAACGCGAGCCTCCAATCAATAGAAAAGGGGTCGACTTGAGAGTAAATAATGAAAAATGTATGTAGCAAGATTATAGCTTTAATAGTTTAAACTTGCATTAACCTTGAATGGTATTAAGTGTGAACTTTTATACTTGAACAAGATAAACGAGGCCCGTCGGATGATAGGGCGCATCAGACCATAGATATTAGACTAGACTCGGACAATATACTGGGTCTCGGGTTACTGGTTGAACTGGTGGATCAATGGTCGGACCGGTGGGTCATTACATAAAAATCTATAATAAAAAAAGTATGAAATTTTTTTAGGCAAAATTATCATTTTTAAATTATTTTTCACTAATT